TTAAAGAATTATCTAAAATAATAAAAAATTATAATGTATTCTCTATTATAAATAGTCTATTAAAACGATATAAAAAATAAAACCGTCATTTTCTTCTATTCTATAAAATTTGTTGAAGATGTTATTAGGAATATTAAGAAGTTGTTTGTTTACCTCTTAATAGTTCTATTAAGAGTCAATCTCTGAATTGTTAAGAGGTGAATTTTGTTTGACAAGAAAAAAGTCTACTTCTTAATGGTTCTAAAACCCTCTGAATGATTTTGTTACATGGATCTCCCTTAAACATTAAGAGCTCTAATTTCATCGTACACAATTATCAAACAATTATATTTTATTTTGTACCATATCATGAAAAACTCTTAATAATTTTGATCACTTAATCATTCTAACCATATAATCATTCTAGACCAAAAAAAGCAATTACAAAACAGCCCTAAACATATTTAATTTCAAAGAGATGGTCCCGTTTTTGATCATAAGATACACGCAACCGAAGGTTTATTTTTGAACAATAATAAATAATGAATAATGGAAAAAGCCTGCGATATGTCAATCTCTGAGGTTTACTGGGACAAGTTCAATAATGGGCCCACGATACAAATAGAGGTTATCCACTTAAGCCTTATCAATTAGGTAGGTGTAAAAGTAGAGCTACATATGATTGGGCCACGTGCTATTCTTAAATTCTTGGACAACATCCCAATTATTTGATGCTGTCGGTTAAATTTTTTCCAAAACACAAGTTTTTCATCTTATTTAACTAAAAAAATAACATTTATTTAAAGAATTTTACTAAAATAATCATGAATTCCGTCCAACCTCACATGTGTTTGGCATGCCATATTTATCCAGAATTGATAAAATTTTAGAATTTGTTGATTCAATTTATCAGTTAATAAAAACATTTATTTGATATTTCTAATGATTCGATCTACCAACTAGTAAAAAGTGGATTCTATCAATTAACATTATTCATTACTATTTTTTTTAAATTTTATTTTCTTGATTTTATTACTATAAATGGCTGGTTTAATAAATAAAAAAAATATTAAAGTACTCAATAGATACATTACATTTTACATCAAGAAATAACAGTTCTATATTAAAACCATATTTTACACCACTTTAAGTGTTACTATAAGGTTACTCGTGTAATGCAGCGAAATAAATTTTGATTTTAGTATTTCATTTTATTCTTTATCTCAGTCGATGTTATATTATGGTCTTTTGTGATTTTGAAAAAAACGATGATGTTTTTATTTTTGAATAAAATACAAATTTAAGGATATCGTAAAAATTTAACAAAAATATATCGATATTAGTATCAAATTAACGATTTAAAATTCATATTTTTTGTGTAACTTTTTAATTCAATTTTTTTTAATTATAATTTAATTTATATTCAATAACAAAGTAACTTATAGTTGGTTTAATATTATAATTTTTTTATAAAGATAATAATCAATTATTTTGTTAAAACTCTATAATTATATTTTAGATTTTTTATATTTTAAAATAAGATGTTTATTTTCTATTTAATTATGTTTATCCGCAGTTAGTTACACGAATTCAAACATAGAGATTTAATAAGTTGTACTTATGCATAATTTACTTGTAATCTTGAATTTTAAGTAACATACATCAATATACAATACTTCATGTATAAAAAATAGTATATAAAAACATTTGATAAATGCTTTATAATATAGTATAGATAGATAATAAAATATTAAACTATTGTAAAATGAATAGATTAAAAATACAAAAATTTATGTTGATACGTTGATGGTATTATCTATTAATTATCAATTAAGACATTTAAATTATTTTATTATTTTTGTGTAAGTTACTTGTATGAATGGTCAATTCAAAATATAAAGGACAAACATTTTGATAAAAACCACACCAATAAATTAATCTCATTCATTACTCATATCGTGTTTTTTAAATAAAACTCAATAAAAAAAATTGAAGTTATACAATTATTATAAAATAATTCATGATTTTTAATACATAAAGTTATTTATTTGTGTTGGCATTTCGTCCTCGGGGAGTCGAGTGTTTTTGTGTTTGACAAGATTTCAACATGTTAAGGGTCAAATTGTAATAATCCAAGTTCTGAGGGTTTAAGTAAAATTAAATCATAATTCAAGGGTCTAAGTGGAATATAATAATACTTTGTCCTAGATAGAAATATATGTATACCATATCCTACCAATTATGTGGTCCAAATTAGCATGACAAAAAACAATGAACACAAAGTTTAAAACGACGCCTATCAATTGTCCTAAAAAACAAAGATCAATAGATATTATTATATTTATAATTTTTTTTATCATATATATAAGGGAACGATCAAATGCAAACCACTCAATTTGTACAAACCATGCAAACCGCATTCAATCAATCATAATTTTTCATTTTTTTGTAATTATGAGAGTTTGATTAATCATTTTTATTGTGGAGGGTGTTAATCATAGATACTATCATCTTCATTATTTTAATTTTAGAGAAATACATGAAACAGTTTCATTAATGTTAGAGAAATACATGAAACAGTTTCATTAAATATTATATGAAACAATTTCACAACCATATATGAAACAACTTGATCAAAAAAAGTATTATATGAAACAATTTCACAAGATTAAACAATTTCATGAAAAAATTTCATAAGATTAAACAATGAAATCGACAGATGAAGGTGGTTTGCACGGTTTACACAAATGAGTGCGGTTTTCATATGATCACTCCTCTATATATATATATAAAAGAAATAATATTTATTTAGTTTATATGTGTTGACTTATTTTAGTTCCAACTAAAACATGGTAAACTGTGATAAGAGAACTTGTATTCTTATCATATAACATTGATTTTAATTTCTTTTTTGGTGGGTAAATGGTCCAAAGAAGGGATCGAAGGTGTAAGTGATCGGATAAATCACATATTTAAACCAAATGATGGGTCTTTTTGAAAACATGTTTTGTTATACTTTTTTGAAGTGTGATTTTAACGTAGATATTTAAATCATTAAAACCATCATATTCAAAACCCATAAATGGTCATGCATGCCAGTGCAATTTAATTGTGGAGTACCTTTGTTGTCTTGCACGATCACGCAAAATGCCTTTGTAATTTGATACGACAATGCTTGAGTTTGCCAAGGCCGTACAGAGCGTCTTTGTTATTTGACATGATCAAAATAGTTATAATGATTGGGTTTACACTAAAAAAAAACATGTTTTGCATTGTAGGTAGAGTTATGAGTAGGGACTCTTAAGCCCATGCATATGATGCGAGTTTAATGTCATTTTAACTATGAAGCACAATTTCGTATGCTTTCAGATGTTAACCATCATCGGTGGAGAGGCTGGTTCAACATAATTTCACATTGGTTTAATCAAGTTCGATAGAAATAAAGCTTACAGCCACAAACATACAATATCCAAAATAAAAAGATGAATGAAGAGCGATCAAACACTTTGATACCCACTTTGATCAAGTTCGACATGATAAATGAATTCGATTTGTGATGCATAAGAATGAGTATTTGTATAGTTGTATAAGGGCGGATTCACCTACCATGATGCCGATAGTTATCACAAGGTATAGTAGGGCATGGTATGTCCCTAGGACAGGGTGTACGTATCCACAAGAAAAAAAAAACTAGTGCATGATGGAAAGCCCATCTAAATTGCGTCATGTAACAGATATGGTGGCCCATACCATACATGGAGAAAATGAAATGAGTGAAACTGTCTTGTGAGCATATCATGCGGATATGGTGTTCATGTATCCATAATTGCTTCACGGTAAGAATTTCTAAACTTTGTTTTGTTGCATGTCATGAGTTATATCTTGTGGGTATGAAGAGGTGGCAGATTATTTGTTTCCTACTAAGCTTATAAAAAGAATTAAATATTTATATTGTATTTTATTAATTTACTAGAATACTTCATAATTATGAGAAATGCAATGCTTGGTATATAATTATCGGCTTATTTATTTAAATATTTTATTAAATTAATGTTGTATATTTTAAAACAAACAAATAATTCTAACCTATAGAAATAGAAGTATCGCGATTTACTCGAGATGGATGATAGGGGGAATAATTGAAAGATAAGTGGGCCCACTAATAATGTCACTTACGATTTATAGCATAATTTAGTCGATCCAAGATCTCCATTATTGATCACAATGAAAGGGTCCACTGTAAGGTGAAGACACGCATCTACACTATTCCTTCCCGCCACCCCCTACACCTACAGTATCACACCCTCCTAGGTGATGTTAACCGCTGCTACACAAGTTTTATATGCTACTCACCCCCTCAGGTTTACTTTATTTACAAAATGAACCCTGTTTTAAGTGATGACATTTGTTTGGGCTAATATTTATTTGTATATACTTTTTTTTCCAATTCATATCTCATGTGTTTTGATTTATACGACAACTCAAACAAAGAAACAATATGATAAGACAATAAGTCATCGAATGACAAATACTTTGTCATTGATATATATATATTGTTTAAAGAAAGATATAAAGTATATGCTATTTGATTCCGATGCAGTCGGTGCTAATAACTTTCCTTCTTATTTTTTAAAAACAATTTGGTACTTATGTATCAAGAAAGACAATGAGTAATAAATCATGACAAAGAAATGACAAAATGGGACGAATAAAAACGACTAAAATTGTAGCAAAACAATTAAATATAGTCGTATTCTCATAATATCCATTTATTTTATTCCCAAAAAAAAAAGTCAAAGACGTTATGTTGTGGGTGAGATGCTAAAGTCATAGTTGAATGCCATTAATTCAATAGGGATGTCATATTGAATTACACAAAAAGATTGAGGATGGTTTATGTAACTTCCAAATATATTTTCATATCTACCCTCACAATATAAAATGTTTACATATCCAACACAGGGCTTATCCATTACAACATTATATATACCCTGGCCGGTCATCAACAACCACCTAAACCAACCAACCAATCAATCGATCAAATCTTCCATAGCCAATTCTTTTGTCCGGAAAACACAAAGAACACAAAACCTCTTCTTTAAGTTAATCATCTCAACATTTTTCTCTCCGATGGCAACAAGAAAATTCCACCACCACCACCATGATCAAAGATCGAAGTTCCTTAATTACTTAGGTGGCGGCGGCGGCGGTGGTGGTGGTGATCAGAGAATCAATCGGGTGGATTCCGATGGGTTTGAGATGAATGAATCCGACCTATGGAACACCAGCGTTGACGACCATTCACACCTGCAGCCTCAAAACACCATCTCAAGAAGATCAAAGTTTCCATTGAAAGCTCATCAACAAAGAAAAATGCCCATGACGTCGGCGGCGAAGTCATTGCCGGTCAACGTACCGGACTGGTCAAAGATTTTGAGAGATGAGTACAAGCATCATGGGAGGAGAGACAATGATCATGGTCATGACGTGGGATTTTATGATGATGATGATGAGGAGGAGGATGATAATGAGAAGTTGCCACCCCATGAGTATTTAGCAAGGACCAGAATTGCTTCATTTTCCGTTCATGAAGGCTTTGGAAGAACATTGAAAGGCAGAGACTTGAGTAGGGTTAGAAATGCTATTTGGAAGCAAACTGGTTTTGAACAAGATTGATGTCACACTTTCCAATGTCGGTTCACGTAATCAAGCTCCGAGCCAGAAGTATTATCTGTGTCGGTATGTTCAGAGCATGGTTACGTGGGCTGTATATGAAAACACGAAAGAAGGTGTCATGTTTAGCGTTTACAAAAATAATTAAGTTAACATTAACCAACTATATGTGAGTCTAACTTGATGGACCGCGTAAATCACAAAGTATTTAATTCTTCATTTTTCAATTTGTATCTTGTTTTCTTTTACTTGCTACGTTTTATTCCTCTACGCATCAAAACTCGTGATCATATATATTTCTATATTTGCAGAGCCAAAAACAAGACTTAGAAAATGAAATATGTAACTATCAAAACCCTATAACGAAACCTATGCATTGATCGAGAATAAATAATCGTCTAGAATTAAAACAATATTGGTATCAAAAAAATGTATAATAAACCTCTTTTTTGAACTTTATAACATATATTTTAGTTATCGATTACATGTTTTTAGTCAATAATTATTACCGTATGTATATTTGTAGTTCATATATGACTGATAAATAAATATAGTTGAAGATGAGGAAGAACAAGTAAAAGTTAGATGAACAATGTTGACTTTAATGTATAGAATGGGAGACTTTAATTTTACTTGGTTTCGTGGTGTCTCACCTACTAAATTTTTTTATTGAAATCAAAAATTTAACGAAACAACTTTTTACGTAATTTAATCCTATAGCGGTTTATACAATAAGGATATAGATGTCAACAAGCAGTACCTAGCAAAACTGAAAGTAAACATATCAATGCAAATGTAGATAAAGCAGTTGAAAGTATGACAAATGCGTAATAAAGATAATAATAATCTTTACGTCACAATCAATATCTCTTTAAAATTAATGTATATAAAGTAATGGAAAAAACGACTTATTTAGGTTGTACGTATGGATTTTATTTTTGTTTTTAAAATAAAATATTATATATATATATATATATATATATATTGATTAACCTGGATATCTAACCCGTTATGCGAGTCGACTAATCCCAGAACGACTACCTGTTTTGCAGATAGTCCAGAATCACCGCATTTGAATCTCCGTGGCCACAAGATGATTTTTATTCCTTCTTGGATTTAAACTTAGAACCTCCTGATATTTTTGATTTTTAAAGTCAAGCCCAAACCAATTAAAGATCATCTTTATGATTAAATAAATTATATTTTATGGGCAAGAAGGAGTGGATTTGGGAGGAGGAGTTTGAAGTAAAGAGTTGTTTGGGTGTGGTAGGTATGAAAGGGGCACTCCATCTAAAGGAAACCTTCAATCAAAAGTCATTTATACCCTTCTTTTTCAAGTCTTTTTCCAATCTAATTATTTAACTTAAAATCAACGGTTAGAAACAAAAAAAAAAAAAAAAAAAACCCTCCTCAATCATTTCTCCTTCTTTTACTTAAATTTCAGTTTGCTTCATTTTTATTTTTTAAAATCGTAACATCGCTTTCCCAAAAAATTATATGATTTAAGGTGTAGTTTCTATCGATGATGTAAACACGTAATCATGTCTTATCTTGTTATTAATCATAAAAAAGATTACATGTCGCTTTCGCTCTTGTGTATCATATATGAAATATACAAGTTCTACTGGAAACACGATTGATTGTCATTTTTAAAATCGGAATTACACTAATAAACATTTAACTGGCCGAAAAATGAAATAACGACCATAAGAATAAAATTACAAATGATGAAAAATTTTAGATATTATTTTGAAGGAAGAACAAAAAACTAAAACTTACTTCTTAAAACAACTCATGAAATAATTTAATTCGCTTGTTAAATTAAAATAAAATAAAGTACGATTGCTATCATATTAAAGACTGAGGCTAATTCGATCTGAAGCAATGATCATCTGCAGTTGACACGTTCGATAGGTGATTTTCATATTGTCATTGTTGTAGAATTGACTGAATTAATTAATTAGTGGACACATTGCATCATCATGAAATGTATTTTTGTTGTAGGTCTTGTTTTCACAATCTTTTTTTTTATGTCTCTGACAAAACATCTCAAACGTTAAATTTAATGATGTTTTTAAAAATGATAATTGTTTACAAAGTTACGATATATTCCTATGTTTATCTGCAAGGTTATAGTATACTTTATTAATTACACTACTGACACAATGTGTTCCTTCAAAGGCATCACATACATAATACGTTTTCCAAAATTAGGTTTTTAGAAGTATGTATTTGAAGATAATAACCCAATAAAAACTCAAATAATTTGTAGTTTAAGTAAACAAGCATTCGGTTTATAAAGTTAACACGTATTATAAGGTTGAATAATGGAAACATTGTAATTAACTAACCATTAATGATGATTATCTTGATAACTTACCACTAATAATGCTTTAATTAATTCAAAGAATATAATATATTAAGAGAATATTAGGTGGGAAAACAAGGAAGGACAAAAATTGATCACCCTCTTTTTTAGATACACAGTTTTGATTTAATTAATTTGTTAGCTTTAAATAACTTATTACCTGACTGGTTGGGTTCTAGTTCGAATGAAAGTTATGGTGAAAAAAATAAGAATGAATCTACATCCTTAAATCAATCATAGCTAAAGATCAACAGTAATGAGATGCATCGAGATGTACCAAATCAATTCCTATGAAAAGCGCAATTTGTGAGGTGGAGATGAGATTAGCATTACTCTACAAATGAAAACGTTCTTATAATTTATTAAACTCGTTTAATATCAACTTTAGTTGTTAATTTAGACAATAATCGAATGAAACAGATTGGTTAGCTTGTGCAGAAGTTCATACTATCGGATTGGATAAGACCGATCCAATCCAATCATATATTATATTGGATTAGTTGTTCAACGTAAATTAGATTGGATTAGTTAAGTTAATAAAAGCATCATCATGTCGACCCTAGCCAGGGGCTCTACCCCTTGGACCCCGTTACCAGGGGCGCTGCCCCAGCACCCCCGTCGTTTCCCCTAAATAACGGTATACTTTAACTCGAAATAAACTCAAACAAGGGTGCACTTCACACCGTCCTTACTTGTTCAATATTTATCAAGATTACATTGATCAACAAATTAATCCCATTACACTTAAATGATATTAATGATACAAATCACCAACAGTTAGTTGGTGTTGTATACTTCTTTTATCAAATTTTTATTGTAATTGTTTAAGTTTTCTTGTCCTTTATAGTTAGTTAGAAAAAGGATAGGGATGAATGTGCAATTTCGATTAGGTCGTTTGTTTGCCTAACATTTGGTGTACCATGATTTGCACGTGACTTATTGATATAAGATAAGATAAAACATATATTCTTTTTTTTTTATGGTATATTTTTTACATACTTTTCGTACAAACAAATTATGAATTGGATCGAGTTAACATCGGGTAAGAAAAGAAACAAAAACACATTAATTTATGGGTTGTTTATCATATAACAATTTACATTTAAATTTATTTTTTCAATGTATTATACTTTGAAAATTTTATTTATTATAATATTGGATAACATTTTGATTTAAATTTATCAATACTGGATTTCTATGTCACCTCGCTTCTACATAAGTTGTCCCTATGTATCATACCGTTAACTTTACATTTTTTATTATAACATTATACTTTCAAAATTGTTTTATTATAAGATCGTCGGTTTCTATTACAACATTGTACTTTTAGTATTAACATTTTATTATTTATCCACTATACATTTAATCAAACATGTTACCTAAATTAGCATATGTTTCTAATCCCAAATTTCAAAAAAAAAAAATTTAGTTTCCCAAATTCAAGATTATAATGATGGGTAACTTCTTGATTTTAATTAAGATGACTTGAAACAAGTAATCAGGTTTTCATGTTTCAAGTCATCTCATTATCTGCATGAAACATCCACATGTAAAATTTTGTTTATGTAACATTTCTTATTACATTATTGTACTTTGAATTTTTTTTATATATTATTTAATAAATATAAGTCAAAACTTAAAAGAAAATGATAATCGATACTATTTAGATGTGGATGAGAATATAATCTGACGTATATCCTATCTATACTATATTATAAAGCATTTGACAAAAACTCTTAAAAACCACTTTTTATACGTAAAGTACTGTTTATTAATGCATATTACTTAAAACTCAATATTACAAGTAGATTGTGCGTAAGTACAAGTTATTAAAGCTCCATATTTGAATTCATGTAACTAACTGCAGATAAGCAAAATCAAATACAAGATAAACATCTCAATTTAAATATAAAAAATTTAAAATATAATTAGGATAATCATTGAGTTCTAACAAAATAATTAATTATTATCTTTATAAAATGTTATATTAGTAAACCAAAAATAAATTATTTCATTATTAAACTTAAATTAAATTATAATTAAAAAAATAAGTTAAAGAAATTACATAAAAAATGAGAACTTTTAGTTGATTTGATATTAACATTGATATATTTTTCTTCAAATTTATATCTTATTCAAAAATAAAATCATTAATGCTTTCTTAAAAACACATAAAATCGTATTATAACATCGACATAGACAAATAATAAAATAGAACAATAAAATCGAGATGTGTCTCGCTGCATTGCGCGAGTACTCTTCTAGTATTATAAAACATTTGACAAAAACTCTTAAAAACCATTTTTAATTCATGAAGTACTGTTTATTGATGCATATTACTTAAAAATCAAGATTACAAGTAAATTTTGCGTAAGTACAACTTATTAAAGCTTCATATTTGAATTCGTAAAACTAACTGCAAATAAACATGATCAAATAGAGAATAAACATATCATTTTAAATATAAAAAATTTAAAATTAGGATAATCATTGAGTTATAACAAAACACTTAATTATTATCTTTATAAAAAATTATATTATTAAACCAAAAAAATGAATTAAAGAAATACACAAAAAAAGAGAAATTTTAAAGTCATTTTGGTATTAATATCAATATTTTTTTTAATTTTTTATAACATCGATCGAGACAAAAGAAAAATGAAACATTAAAATCGAGATGTATCTCGCTACATTGTACGAGTACCCTTATAACATTTTCTAATGTAAACGTGATCTTATTGAGATATTTTAATTTGGTCAATTAAAGTATTAAACTAGTGTAAACAGAACATATTGTAAAATTCTTTATTAAAAAGTATATTTAAGGTTTATACTTGAACAAAATAAAGATAACAATAA